TAATTTTTAACTGAAAAATTTTAATTTTTAAAGACAATACGACTATGTAAATTGGGAATGTTTTTAGCAGCAATTTTAATTATTACAATAAGATTTTAACGCGGGTCTATAAACATTCTGTTTTTAATTTATATTTTTTTGTTTCCAAAATATTCGCAAATTACAAATAACATTTCATCTGTTTGGTAAATGCATTACAATGAAGAATGGAAATGTCTGTGAGCAATGAAGATTCATATAACTGTTAAAAAACAAGTTACTATCGTACATGATAGCTTTAATTTTATCTACCATCAAAGCTTATAATTTTCTATAAAACCTTGACAAACCATTTTACTATTCATTCAAAAGCCACATGGTATTATCATTTTACATATATAAACGAATGATTTAAATTTGCTTCCTAAACAAGTTTAAAAGTTAACAATATCATATGATTGGCTACATATATATGTCTTTGACTTAATAGTTAAAAGACTAATCACAAAATTAATGTTTTATACCTTTAAGTATAAAAAGAGGAACACAATAAACAGAAAGGAAAATATTTTAATCAATACTTGAAAATAATTTATAGCGTTTATCTATCGAATAATAGAAATATATCTCCTTTTTCGTGTGGAATACTAACAAGAATGTATTTAATACCCATTATGAATATCTAAAATAATTGTGTATAAATTTTTATAAAAAGGACGCATACCTTAAGTAGGTTTGTCATTTTTAAACACATTATAAGCAAAATCATTGACATTATTAACATTATAAATTCTACAAACAGTTCTGATATTATAAGTTATGTTTTTAGTAGTATTATAGCAAAGAAAAATGCTCGTGTTGTGTTATGTTACATAATGCATAAAAATTTTCTCTAACATATGTATGTACATTTTTACATACATACATATTACAATTATGAAGATATTTCCAACGTTTCTAAAGCATTCTAGAAAATTAGATTTGAAAAAAAAATTAAATTTTCATACTACATTTTTCACAGTTTATTTATATTGCAAAAATGGCATTATGCATTTAAAAATTCAACCATATTATCATTGTTGTCATCGACCATATTATTCGTAGTACCTTAATTATTCTGCACTGTAATAGCAATTTCATCTGTACGCAGTTTTATAATTAATTTTGCGTTTACAGTATACGTCCTATATTTATTAAATTTTAATCAATACAATGTTTAGTTCGCTTACGATGATAATTTCGTGCCAATTCATGAATAATTGTTACTAAAAAGTAACATACCATTAAAATTACAAATTTATCAAACAACCATGAAATTGTTGTTGCTCCATCCTGAAAATAAAATAGTGTGAATAGAATAATATTTATGAATATATAAATATATCATACATAATAAATGAAACTAATCATACCATTGATGTTTTATCGTGTAACTTTTTTTTCTGTTCAATAAGATATTTTTTTAATGGTCCTTGAAATTTTGAACCAATAAATGGCACAATTGCTAACAATTTTATAAATTTGTCTAGAAGTTCTTCATTGAAAGCTATAATTACTGCAAGTTGTTGAATGTGCATTTTAATAATTGCTTTTCCTATAAGTGTAGCTCCAAAAAATGTCCAAAAAGGAATTAAATAATGACCACAAGTCAAGCCAGCAAGATCAAATAATGGATTAGGAATCTAAAAAAATTTGTTGTGCTAAAAATATATTATGGCTTTTCACAAAATACCTATTTTGTTACTCACTACCACATATTTAATGTTTATATAAAAATCTTTTAAAAATATAAACAGTACAAGAGATATAAAAGTAAAATTAATACTTATAGAAATAATTTACTTACTGAAGCACAGGCAAGAATTCCCCAAAAACCTGCTTTTTGTACAAAACGTTTCATAATTAATTTTATATGTATTAATAATGATACATTTTCTCCATTTTCTAAAGCTTCTAGAGCTTCTAATTCTTTTAAATCTTCTTGATCAAATTTTTCAGTTCTACTATTCTTTCTGCTAGTTCTAGCAGCTCTAGCCATGAAATATGGTGGTAGTTCACCAAGGGCAGTACCAGCACCCCAAAGCATAGCTTCTATACGTACTTTTCTCATAATATTTAATACTCCTGCTGTCCACATTGGATCTACTGTTGTTGGACATATTATTTGATCAGGATATGGTGGTTCAGGAAAATTAAGAGCACCACATTCATATGCAGCCATAGTAACTGCTGCTATATGTGGTCCTAAATAAAGTACAAAAGTATGTAAGCCTGTACCAAGACCTACACTGGAAAGAACACCTAAACCTATCCAATACAACCACCAAACCATTTTTGTTTCCCATGCTTTTAAAATCTGAAAATATGAAAATATTTTATAACTTTAAAGACTGCTTTTAGGTCAAATAAATCAGAAACTATATATATGTTATGAGGAATTTTAATGTAATTATTTCATATACTTAAAATTTTTAAATATGTGAGCCATGTAAATGAAATATTGAATTAAAACGTTTGTTGTAACTAAATGTAATGTGTGAAATATAAAATGATTAAAATATAGTATCGATCGCGCAGTTTTTGAAATATTGAACCCTCTCCAGCTATGTCTACCCTGTATAATGTAAGATTCCTTACACTTTTTTTGCTCATTATTGGAAACATACCTGTTGATGTGGACCAGATATTCTGCTCAATGCTAGAAACAATATAACTATTGAAACCATACACCATACTGTTCTTCTATAATGCAATGCCTTTCTTCCTAAGTTAAATATATTATTTAAAAGTTCTCTGAGAAAGTAATTTAATGTAGTAATTGGATGCTGCCATAAAGTTAAATGATCCGAATCTACATATAATTCATTATTCAAATTATTCAGGTCTTCTAAGAGTGGTGCAGATAATTGTTTCTCTTCTATATTCTGTTGAGCACCATTAACAGGAATTGAATCCTTTACTCGTCGTACGGCAGTGGTATTTTCTAACATGATGCCCCCTATCTGATTATTCTGCAAGTAAGAAAAATAATTTTAACATATGATGTAAGTAAAATATTATAAAATGAAGAAAAAAACATAATAGTCATCTTAAGCATAATATAAATATGATAATATAATA